CAAATTAATGGAAAGTACAGAAGTAAGAGCTAATGATTCCATTTCCTGTGTTTACATAGTAAAGAGATGTCCAGATAGGCTACTTGTGAATTAACAATTTAAAATAGGCATTGCCCGGGCTGCATTTTTAAGACACACACACACACACACACACACACACACACACACACACACACACACCCTTTTAGAAAGGAGAATTATCTGAGTGACAGAATTAGAATGAGTTAATATTTAGGCATTATAGCAGAGCTCTTAGTTCCTTAAGCACTGGAATCGTTGACATTTTCCTCTTTTGGAATCTGTGCCTTTAGTTGTCTGTAGGTTCAAGAGGAGCCACATCAGATGGTTCCTAAATTGAATAAAATGAAAGTTTTGGAATCATTTTAATGTTCATGACCTCAAATTAATATTTGAGCAAGTGAATAAATCACCTTCACTTGGAATTAAAGGGAAGTCCATGGTTTTATGAATGCCAATAAATGTAAGATGCTCACTTTCTCCATCTCATTTGCAAATAAGCTGAGGTCAGAAACAAGGCAGAATTTCAGGCTTTGCCTTACATTCAGTAGGGAACTTGGGGAACATGGATTTTTGGACCTCTAGGATATTTTCCAGTATTTTGGATTGTTAGTTTCTAATGTTTATTAATTCTGATTAAATGATAACCAGTGTATTCAAGATGCCAGGTCATTGTTTGGGTGCATTGAGTGTACATTTATACCTTGGCATGATTTTGTTCTTTCCCAATCATGACTATGAAGAGAAAAATCCTCTAAAACAATCACAGGTAGCTAGTCTTTGGAAGAAGAGTTTTTTATTTCAATATTCTTAATTTCACATTATCTAGGTTAAATGATTATTATCTTAACTTTGCTTATACATATATGTAAATACATACTATATATATGTAAGTATGAGTATAGAGACAGGTAGGTAGGGAGATGATTGATTGGTAGATATCTGTGCTGTTATAGCCATGTTTATGGAAAATCAGTCTCAGGAAATTGTATTAGATTTTGTCTAGATGCAAACTCTTATGGCAGCAGTTACCAAATGGCAACTGTGGACTGACAGATACCCACAGAACCTGGCTTCACTTGTTCTGCCTGATATCTTATTGTTGTCTTTGTAATCATTTTATTACTTAATCTTTAGCAGTGAAAAGATTTCACATAGAAACCCAGACTTCCAGTTTCTATTGAAAACTCAGGAGACACTAAAGAATTGCCACAAACACTGGTGATGCTGTCATTTTAAACTGCAAATGGCAACAATTTAAGGGCCTCCAACCCCTCATGCAATTTTTCTCTTCCATGTCAAATGGTGTGAGCTGCAAGCTGAAATGCTCACTGAAATGCTTACCCAGAAGGCTCCCTGACTTAATGGGACCATCTTGTTCCACCTGTTTTTCCTCCCAATTTCTATGTTACATCAATTTTTTCTTCATATAGTTTTTCACTCAGGACCTATTTTCCTGTCTTAGCCACCATTCTCTTCCTTTTCGTCCTTTCCTCTGCCTGCCCTACACCACTCTGCACACCCGTTAGATTTACAGACTGATATGAACATTAGTCCCTGCTCTCAGATCCACAGTAACAACATGGAACCAATGTCCAACCACTTGACATGAAGTTGAGATTCAGTTGTTTTCCCCTTTTCTAATGTGTTAGTTAAGGCACACAAAGACAGCTAGCCAACACACCCACTTCCCTCACTCCAACACAGCCTCTCCAGCCTCCCTGGTGGCTTTGCTCCTAGCTTTAACTCCTCTTCACCAGTGCAGAGAGATGGTGAGTGGCCTTCAGGTCACTTGGGTCCAATTACATGATACAGTTCCCTTTCTTGGTGTTTATTTCAAGATCAAGTCTTGTTTCTCTGATTATCTTAAAGCAAGTTTTCTCCAAAAATGTCCGTGAACATCTTATTTCAGAATCAGTTGTCTTGCTCTTTAGCATTATTTTCTAATTCCTTCAGTTAGATCCCAAGAATCAGACATGTGTGATTTTAGAAATTAGAAGTTCAGGGCAACACAAGTGGTATTGGTAGGTGACTGGATGGCTTGAGAGAGGGTGAAATAAGATTCAGTTCAGTTCTGCCTGTGGTGTTTCTCAAACAGTTTCACCTTAGTTATTGAGATAGCCCTGGGTGTGGCTTTCCTCAGCTGAGCTCTCAAGCCCTTGATCCATGTGAGGGCAGATAAGAGCCTTTCTTCTTTCCCACAAAAGCAAAAGAATTAAACAATAAGATCCCTGAACACAAGCGCTCTAAGACTTTGTCTATATAGTGCCACAGTTAATAAACCCTGGATTGCATCTGAAAGATGTTTGGAGGTGAGGAGTTAGAAAACTAGCTGCCTTCGGGATGGGGAAGAGAGCGCTGACTCTCTGGCACCCTGCCATGCTTGCAGAAGGTCCTGTGCTATGCTGGGTGCCCTGAGCATACCGCCCAGCGGGTGGCGCTTCAACCTGAACTCAGCAAGGAAAGGGTTCCTCTGGTGGCAACAGAGGCTCTGCCCTGCGAGATGTAGAGATCTCACCACTTTTGTTATCTGAGAAGAAAACTGTTTTGAAAACCTTAAAGCATTTTTGTATTTCACTTTTATAAAGTGGGGTGGTGGGAAGAAGGTTGATGAATTTAAAACTTTTATTGATTGTTGTTGGGGAAGTCCCTTGAGCAAGTGGTTTAATTAAAAGAATAGAAGTTGGAACCTGGGGGTCTGGGTTTGAGATTCAGTCGGCAACTTACCTGTTCTGCAAGTTTGAGCAAGATGCAAAGTTTCCCCTAACTGCAAACCCATAATCAGTAAAACAGAGACAATTCTACTGCACACCAGATTGTAGGCATCAAAGGGATGTACACAGAACACTGGAAATACACAGTGCTGTTTCCAGTACAGGTGTTTATGATGTGAGCCACACGCTTTCAAAAAACATAACTGTACTACTTTGAGTCATGTTTTAAAAAGGAAAAGAAACAGAAATAATGGAATCTCATTCCCATAATCTCACAAAGCAGGTAGTCTAATCTCCAGGCAAGGAAACTGAGGCTCAGAAAGGTGAGGTACCATGTCGCAGTCACACAGCCAGTGAGCAGCAAAGTGCAGATCTAATGCCAGGTCTGCCTGACTTCTGATGTCCTCTTTCCACTGCATGATTTGTCTTTTATTTTATTTTATTTTTAATATAAGCCAATTCATATACTTTTTCTTAATTGCAAAAGAGAAAGACAGTTATGTTTGAAAACTAACCCATCCTGATAATTCCTAATTAAGATGTTGTCATATTGAATCTGGCTCAATTTCCTTTTATGAAATATTGTAAACATAATTTGAGTGTAGCTTAAATGAAGTGTCCAAATGGGATAATACAAGTCAGCTGGGAAATTAGACTTTATAGATTACAAGAATTCAATGCCTATGTTGTACTTAATGGACATAATATTTTTAAAGAAAATTCTTCAGGAAACAATTGATTGGTCTATCAATTTCATTACTATATCTCTATGAGACACCCACAGCTTAGAGCAATTAAAGTAAAAATAAGTAATATGAGCTTCACTGTGTGTAGCAGGGAGGAACAGCTCTATCTCCATGGATTTGGGGTTCATGAGAGAAGCAAGGGGTGTTTTGAGCCAAGTTATTTTTTCCTTCCCTGTTGTTTTTAAAGCGGTCTATTTAACAGATCTTTTGATAAAAAGAAGTTAGAGAATTTTCTAGCCCTGTGGCTTTTGAAGAGACTAATTATGAGAGTACTTTATATCTGTGTCTACTATTTTATTAGAAATAAATTCCCTTAAAGAAACAAGTTCTTCTTATTAAATTTAGTTGCAAGCATTTGGATAAAAGAAAGGATATTTTTTTAAAGGGAATATTTTTAGTATAAGGGTAGAGGCAGGATGGGAGTGCAGTGAGATCTGGTGAAGCTGTTGGAGGTGTTGAACACTGTAGAAAAGGCCTTGTGATCAGGGATCCCGTCCTGACAGCTGACTCAGCCATCTTTCCTGGTGATCCTGCTGATGGTGGTTAGAATCATGGCCCAGGTTCGCACCACTTGGGATTTGTAACCTTGTAATTTTGGGCAAGTCCCTGGAGCTCTGTCCAGCTTTGTGGTCTCACTGGTAGATGAGGGGTGTGCAGCAAGGGGTTGTCCTGTTCAGCAGTCACCAGGACACACTGCAAGTGTTGCTAACGTCATTATTGCTGTTTGGGTTTATATAAGTTTCTTGATATTTTTATCAGTTGCCTTCTACCTCATAAGACAAGTATTAAGAATTTTAACTACTTAAGAGCTGTTTTCTTGCAATTTAGTAGACTAATTAAAAGGTGAACAAGATGGAGCATCCCTTTAGATGCAGTACCAAATCAGCTTTCTTTAAGAGATGTTAAAGACATAAATTTTATAACACCAAAAGACGAGAAAATGAAGCCTTCTGGCAAATAATCACTTTAGACCTAGTTTCCAAAGTGCACGGATGTATACTTCTCACAGGAGGGATATCGATTGTGTGTGTTTCAAGAAGCAGCCATTTACACATGCTGTACTGGTGGCTGCAGCGCGCTCTCTGGGAAAGGAGGCCTCCCTAATTGTGGTGAATGGTGATTCTATTTGTAGGCATTGTTTTCTACAGCAGGCTTTCCTTTCTGTGATTATTATTTAAAGATACTTGTCCTCCAATTACTTAGACTTCTTGACCATAAAGGAGAAAAACCTACAGTAGTACAAAGCCCTCAAAGAGAATATATTCCCGAGGTAAAAATGAGCATTACACCTTACCAGCAGAGTAACCTGTTTCCTGCCATAGAGAGACTTTAAGAGGGATTTCAGTACTGAAGATGCTCACGATACTACTTAGGCCACTTGTGTGACAAAAAGAAAATCAGAAGTACAAAAATCACTTGAACTCTTGAGGCCTATTATCTTCTTCTACCTTAGCATCTTTTGCTTATAAACAAAATCACAGTTTTTACACCAATATAAAAAATCAAGAGCATAAGGACTTACCTTCCTTCAACCAAGAAACATTCTTTTTGTCATTTTCAAAATGCTGGGCTGTTCCTATTTTTATCTTTTCCAGCTCAGTTTCTGACATCTAAATGTAAACAGAAATTGTGATATAAAAAATTCATTAAGAACCCAAATTTATAACACTAAGCTTTATATTTTGAGACTACTGCCATATTATGAGAAGATTTCATCTTTATAGTGTTTTACTTCATTGTTGTCCTATACTTTATCCATTTGTTATTTTAAAACATTGACATTGAGAACTGAACTTCCTATATAGTAGTAGTTCATTGTTAAGCAACAAACATTGCTAAAAGATCATCCAGTTTCTGAATACCAAAGAATAACAGATTAATAACTAGCTGTGGGTTTGTTATGAGCAAACACGTTCAGTTGCTATTTTGGTGTATCTTTATAGCCTTCTGGACAGCCTGATGCAGAGTAATATGCAAAGATATAAATAATAACATGCAAAAGAACCTTTTTAGGAATTTATGGGTGAAGTAATAAGCCGGGACCTAACCAGCCCAACTACAGCCAAAGGGAGATGTTGAGAAGACGTGTGAGGCTCCTCCAGTGCCGTGAACTTGACCTTTGTGGCTTGCTCCCAAGTAGTGTTCTACTTGGATCAGTGCCCAGGAGCTTACCTGTGTGTCCCAACAGGAGGCCCAAGGTGTGGGGCTGGGGAGCAGTGTGCTGCAGCCTCCCTGCTCTCCTGGTGTCCAGCATTCCTCTACCCTGGCAGAAATGAGCGGAGGAGCTAGCCCGCTCCTTCCTGGGTGGTGCTGGATTTGCATTGCTGCCAGAATCATCCGACTTGTGGCTGAGAGGTTTTTTTTTTTTTTTTTTTTTTTTAAGGTAATATAAAGCCTGTGGTTCTAAACAATGAAACCTCTCGGCTAGCACTTATTTAAAATGACATCCTGCAAAACAGGGTAAAAATATGAACTCTTCCCAAATGGACAAAGATTCCTCCATCCTTTCTTTCCACGCCTTCCATTCATTTCTTAGAATTAATATTAAAAGATGTAGAAAAAAATATATTGAAATATATACGCAGATGATTTGGGTTAAAAGGAAGCTACAATCTCTGGAAATTCATCTAGCAGTTGGTATTTTGAAAAGAACTTTTTTTCTAGTATATAAAAGCTACAGAATACATTTCAAGTTATTTTGATCATGTGCAGATATTTTTAAAATTTTGGAATAATATTCTAAGGAGCATTTATTATTAGATACTTAGGTAAGGGTCATACTATTTTCAGTGGAAGATCAAAAACTAAAAGCACCACCTTGGGTGATGAATAGTTCACCATTCCTAAAGGTTGTCATTTCCTTCATGTTTTGTTTTTTTCCCCCTAAACTGGTTTTTCTTCTGCAGTGTTCTGCCTGGACAACAATTTTATCTGATTTCCTTGTGTCCATTTACTCTGCTTTTCCAACTTCATTTCTTCTTGTACTTAGTTCCAAGAATTCTCATCTTTTAAAATCTACCTAGATCAGTCAATTTTTATACAAAATAACTTCCAATTCCTCCCATATCAATAACTTCAGCAAGTTCAGACCTTGGATGGTCAGATTTCTCTAAATGACTTCCCACACACAGTCCCACAGCCACAATTTTGTGTAGGTTCCTAGACATGCTTCTGGGGCTAGCATCCCTCTGCATTCCCCGCTTCCTCCCTGTAGCCTTTCCCTTCTCATGCATCTGAAAGTGACCTTTCCGGCCTCAGATCCGACTTGGAACTCTTGTGTTGAGTATCTCCATTGTAGTCTCTGTAAACCTGTCCTATTTTCCTGACCGTACTCCAGGTCCCTAAGAGCTCAGTCTCTGTCTCTGTCCTGTGTATCTTGCTCCATGTTTGATCTGATCGACATCAATGAAAAATTGCTAGATAAATAAGAACAGTAGATTAAAAGCTGATGATAGCATTTTCCTTCATATCAAAGTCAGAATACACAGGATTACCAACTTCCTTTATTTGTCTTCTATAGCTGTGGCATTAGATGCCAACTCAAGTAGTTGTAACCCTGATCTACTTCCCTTTAATCACTGTCCTTAGGAAAAGCAAATTACCTAAATTTTACATATTAGTGGGGTCAGAAAGACATTTGGAAGGCAGTAGTCGCAATGATCTTAAAGCAGTGAGTAGAGGCAGCATAGGAGCTAAAGGAGATCTAAGGTGGAAATGTCCAGACTGAAAGGGATGATGAGTACCGGTGTGGAATGAGTGGAGAGGACACCACAGACACGTTCCCTCCTGCTCATCTCTCTCCCATTTTAACATTGTTGTTAGTATTATTCCTCAGTGAAAACAATGTCTGGCTCCTCTTCAAGACAGACAAGGATTTCTCCACCAGTCAGGTAAGCACAGTTCCACAGGCACTTTGGGAGCTGGGAGCACCAGTTCCCACCCCTGAGTGTGCCATGCCTCCAGGTCCTTCATGAAGCAGATCTCAGTCCCTGTGGTGATTTCCATGTTTTATATTTAGGTCAACTATTTTCCAATATTTCTGCATCAAAAGAAGCCTATTCCTCAATTTGATGTCCACATTTCTCACTTTGGAGGCTTTGAATTACTAGAAAGCTTATCTTTGATTATCCTTGACCTATATCTGTACTCTACATGTTACACTTATGAAATGGCAATCATATTTTGAGACTTAGTGGATGAATAATTTTCAAATTTTGAAATCCTTGTGTAAGACTTCATTATGAAGAGAGAATTTTTATGAGGACAGAAAATTTTATGAATTCTATAATTTAAAATAATGTCTAACCCTAGGTACAGATATGACTGCACATATGGTGTGACTCTACATTGTATACAACCAGAGAAATGAGAAGTTGTGTTCCATTTGTGCACAATGAATCAAAATGCATTTTGCTGTCATGTATAACTATTTACAACAATTTTTTTTAAGTTACAACTAATTTTGGTTGATGTATTTTAAACATGTGTTAAGTCCTAATACCTGAAATTTTTTTTGTTGTTTGGCCTTAGTTTTCTCTGCATTGCCTCTCACTGCCTTTTAACTTTGGTTTAACTCTTTAAATTAGCTTTTGTTCTTAGGAGTATATGGCCTTATTTGAATTTTCTGAGAGGCCACTTGTGGTAGATTTTCTAGTTTCCCAGCAGATATTTTCCCCCTGTACTTGGGATCAAATCCAGGGCCTCCTGCATGCTAGACAAGTATTCTACCACTGAGCCACATCCCCAGACCTTTTTTGAGTTTTCCATATGGGATATTCTTTTATTTAGAAAAGCACTATTTTTTAAGGGTAGATGATACACTTTGCATTGCTTTGCTGTCTCTGAGCACTTGCAGCTGTTTTTCATGGGAGCTGTAGATTTAAACAAGAGTAGTATTGATTTTCTCATGCACCTCATCTTTAGACACAATGGGACTGGCACCTGGCACTCTACCTATTACCTGCATGGCATGAGTGGTGTTGGACATGGTGTTAAGTGTGTCCTCACAACTCTTTAGACCATTCATTCCTCGGCCTAGTGATGATTCTGGGCCACAGGAGTCTCCTCCCAGCAGAGGAGTCTGGTTTGCATTGGGATTTGAATCCCTTGAGAGGCAAGCTTTCATTTGATGAGTGGGAGTGAAGAGAGCATGGTGTCTGGTGAAGCTCAGGCAGGGAAAACCAGGAGGCAATAAGCAGACAATCCTGGAGTACAAACATGCAGGCCAGCCTCAGGGGACAGATCCAAGGGGGGCTAGCACATTAAAAAAGAAAAAAACAAAAAAAGTTTGTCCAAATAATGTTCATTGTGCATGGTTCCTTTCCAGGAGTATAATCTCAGGGCTCAACTTTTCTTGTTAAAGTCTGTTTTTCTTTTTAGAATAGAGATACTCTGAATGAACTTTTCATGATCACTTTTTTTCTATTTTCATTCACACCTCAATATCTCTACTTTATGATCAAATCTGATCCAGAAATAGAACCTGTAAGGGCAAACTGTCCAGCAGGAGGTACCATTGGTCAAAGGAAAAATTTTCAGGGTTATCTCCTGACACATTCTTGTTCTTGTTAAAATGGGATCCAGAGCATGAAGCCAAGACTTTTAACAAATAATAAGTGCATGCTCTCATATTAGTCAGTCTCTTATATGAACTAAAAAACACCATATTATGGCTTCCCATTATTTGTAAAACAATGAAATTACATGCATACTGTAAGGCTATACTGTTAATCATTGTGTAGATAATGTCACCTACTCAGATTAATGGATTTGAGAATGCATTTGCAGAGTAGAGCTCTCTGAAGCATTTGTGCATTGGATACAAACACAGATTAGGTGTCACAGGAAGTGATGTCACTCCTTTGAAAGCATGTTTTCTGATGCAGAATGGAATCTCTATGATTTAGTATGATTGATTTGAATTTTCTCCATCGTCATTCCAATGGCTAATATATGCGATCAAATATATTCGATCAAATATTTTACATTTAAAATTTCTTTTTGGGATTTTTGTGCCCTTGGTATAAGAATTCACATGGAGTGAATATTGGTCCAAATTGGACCAATATTCATTAAATATTGGTCCAAAATGTCAAGGACAAAGGTGAATCAAACAACAAGAAAACTCCACAACACACTATAGCATACCAACACGAGGATTTATCAGATGTTATTAAAATTTAGGTATGAAATAGTAAGTGAAATAAAAAAGAGTAAGTTTTATTCCTGTATAATGCCAGGTCTTTAAAAAAGCTGCTTACCTTGACCAAATTATTTTTATACATTACAGAGTTGTTGTTTTTTTTATCACCTTTAGACCTTGGTTGACAGTGAGAAATATTAAGAAATAAATGTGAATGGCGTTTGTTGGTGAGTTTATTTTGAAGGTTCCTAATTCCTGTGACACTTGCAATATGCATAGTAAATGTTAGTGTGACTGTTGTTCCCCTTACTGTCACGGGTAATGATTTATCATTTCATTCATATGTACATATGCATAATTTTATGCATGCACACACATTTTATGCAAATCAATGGTATTTATAGCTGGTCATCTTATAAAGAAACTTAGAGAACGAAATTTCTTATGTTGACTCAGTTTCCATTTCTACTCCTCTCTGTCCCTTTTGGAGACCTCTATCAATCAATCAATCAATCTATCTATCTATCTGCTTATCTTTTTATTTAATTTTTTATCATTTTTATTTCTAGACATACATGACAGTGGAGTGTATTTTGCTATATGATACATACATGGAATATGACTTATTCTAACTAGAATCCCATCCTTGTTACACGATGTGGAGTTTCACTGTAGTGTATTCATATATGAATACAGGAGAGTACAGTCCCATTCATTCTCCTGTCATTCCTATGGAACCTTTATCTTCATCTGTCACCTTCCCCTTCAGCCTGAAGGACTGTCTTCAGCATTTCTTGCCTGTCTACAGGTGAGAGATTCTCCACTTTTGGTTATCTAAAAATGTCATTAGTTCACTCTCCTCTGTGGAGGATATTTATCCTGGATATTTAATTACTGGTTGACAGTGCTTTATTTTTCTTCTTCTTTTCTCTTTCTTTTCCCCTTTCTTTTTCTCTCTCCTATTCCTCTTCCTGCTGCTCCACATGGTTGATCATGGCAGGCTCGGTTTTCTTTTCCTTAGGGTGGGTCCTTTCAATCCCTTCCCTAGTACTAGGAAATAGTTCATGCTCTAGGCCCTAATGATCATGCCCAGGACATGTCCTTTCTTAGAGTGAGCTGAAAGTCCAGGATGCTCAGCAAGA